AATAATAATAATAATAATAATAATAATAATAATAATAATAATAATAATAATAATAATAAATGATTATTTCTTGTTTCAATTACTGTGTATTTGCGATGGGTAAGCACCATTTCTTCTAGTAGCTTTGCATGTTGGTTGATTGCTCAGCCAACAGTCCTGAGTTCTGTAGCCCATTTTTCACCAGATGTCCAGGAATTCCAACTTCTAGCATGGTCCTTGTTAATCCATGCAACAATTGAGCTGGTGTGGATTTCTATAACTTACACCTCACTATATTTTTTATAGGGGAGACACATCATATGAAGTGCTAGTACCATTTTATACTGTAGTATTAAGACCATACTTGAATATTGTGCCTAGTTTTGGACACCTTGGTACCAAAAAAAAAAATGTTGACACTCTAGAAAGAGTGCAGAGAAATGTATTCTAAAAAAGATATTTAGAGCTCTGGAGGCTAAAGCATACAATTAATAGTGGTAGGAATCTAAGACTGCATTGGCTCTTTGGCAAGAGCAACACACTGCTGGCTCAGACATATGTGATTGTCCGCTAGGATATCTAGATCCCTCCACAATTACTGCCATTGAGCCAAGTACCATTTATTCTATAAAGCATTGATTACTTTTAATTTAGCCTAGTGGCCAGCTAACCATTTTTCCTTCCTGTGTGAAAAATAATAATAGAATAATAATAAAGCTTGATTTTTCACATCAAAACTAATTCCTTAATTGTGATTGTCAGTCCTTTTGGAAGATATGAAAAACAGGAACAGATGTTCAGTCGTAAAAATAAAATTTGATAGAAGTTTAATAATTGAAAATTCAGATTCATATTAAACTGCCTTATATCAAATTGTTGCTATTTGTGTATCTCTTCTGTGAACGTTTTTTTTTAATTTTCTAATTTGTAGGTTTCTTCATTTGCTTCTGCTGAGTTGCAGAGATTCCGAAATGCAGAAGAAGTTTTGAAGAATAAGAGCAACTCTACAAAAGAACAACAATATGGTCCTCCACCACCACCTCCTTTGCCATTATCTCATGCACAGTTGAGAATGAAAAAAACCCATTCTCTTCCAAGAATGACAGACAGCCCAGGGAATTCAAGGCAGGCCTTAATGGAAGCAATCCGCTCAGGAGCTGGGAAAGCACATTTAAGAAAGGTAAAAAAAAAAGTATTTGTAGGAAGGGTATTTATATGAGAGGAGAAATGGTAGGGTAAAAGTGTGTTCCAATTCTTAAGCACCCCAAAAAGTTGATTAGATGAGTAGCAGCTGTAACCTGAATTGTTGTGGTAAGATTTTTCATACATTTTTCTAACTCTGTAAAAAGCCTGTCAGGAAAATTGACTGAAACACAAAAATACAGTTACCATATTTTTCAGAGTATAAGACACACCTTTTTCTCCCAAAAAAGAGGATGAAAATTTGGGTGTGTCTTATACACCGAATGTAGCTCCACCAGAGGCCAAAAACACGAGGCATGGAGGCAGTGATGGTCTGTGGCAATCCCTGCTGCCTGGAACAACTGATTGGGGGTATTCTGGCAGTCCAATCCATCCGCCAATCAGCTGTGCTGAATCAGGCTGCAATAAGTGCTGAAGCTGACCTGGCTGGTCAGAGTTTGCAGCAGCAATCACATTCAGAAAGCACAGTAACTGATTCAGCAGGATTCAAAACAATAATAATAATATACAATATATTACCAAAAGCAGGGTGTCCAAGGGAGCAGTAAATACAAGCAAAACACAAGCAGTTTCACTTTCAGTTCTGGCTAAGCCAAGCTCTTTCCTGTTTCCTTGTTGCTCGCAAAGCAAATTTCAGAGTCCAAATAGCCCTCATTGGCTGATTTAGTTGCTATGCCTATTCATTGATTGATCTTGTTACCATGTGTCAGCTGAATACCATGGATGCTGGTAAGCAGAGGCAGAATTTTTTTTTCTTATTTTCCTCCCTAAAAACTAAGATGTATTTTATACTCCAAAAATACAGTCTATTAGGCTTTCATATTCTTATACCAGTTGAAGCAGCTCTTACAAATTAGGTGCTATAGCTAGTAGATCTTTTTATGACAGGAAAGTGAGTGTAAGTTATATGTTAGGGCAGTTCAGTTACCATCTCTTTTAGTGAAAAGACTGATGGTAGAATCATATCCTCTTCATTAAAGGAACATGTCAAGCATCATCTCTCCTCCTGCTTCTGACTTGCAATAAGTCCAAAAGAAGTGTTATTACTTCTCCACAGAATAGTTTGACACAGAAGGTATAACATTTAAACATATTATTTGTGTGAAATCACCTTGACAGATTTGTTTTCAGATACAGTTGTAAAACTGTATGTGCATAACTTACATATCATGGCATATATAAGATTTGAGAAGTGAATCCCTAAATCCTTTATAGGTTTGGAAAAAATTTCTCAAGACCTAGAAAGCTCAAGTTTGAAACCTACTGCTAAAGAGACTAAAGTACTGGAATTGTTGGATCAGTAAGTCTCACGCAGACTCATACAGGAAAATATTGAAAGGCATCATTAACAATGCCTGTAATAGGGTTAGTAGAAACAATTTGATATCTCTTGATATCAATGAATTTCCTAGTATATTTGAAGTATACCTTAAGTACATCAACACAGATAAGTATGTTTGTATTGTTATGTGTGTTTTCACAAACAATGGAATTTTTTCATCTCAGGCTGCAAGCCTATAAATATGGCAGTCTAATCTGCTTGGAGAATAACTCATAAAAATACACCTTTCAGGCCATTTTGAAAGGAAATATACATAGCATAAAGTTATTACATATAGAAAAACAAAATAGTGATATGGAAATGATAGCATTAAAATAAGTAAAGTCAGAAAGCAATTTCCCAAAACAAGGCACTATCCAAATCAATAATCTTTTATACATTTAGTCTCAGAATTTATATCAAATATGATGCCTGAAAAATTACTTAAAAATGTAAGAATATTGCAGCAAAGGAAAGTTTTTCTTTCTGCTCCATTTAATCTTCTTCACTGTTGAAAAGAAACCTTTGAACACCTTGTCCATAGATCAGTGTTTTTCAACCACTGTGCCGCGGCACACTAGTGTGCCGTGACATAGTGTAAGGTGTGCCGTGGGAAAATTACTTTATATATAGTCAATATAGGTGCAGAGTTAAATTTTTTTAACATTTTCTAATGGTGGTGTGCCTCATGATCTTTTTGATGAAAAAAGTGTGCCTTTGCACAAAAAAGGTTGAAAAACACTGCCATAGATGGCAGAAAAGTATCTTGGATCTGAAGGCAGAACATTTTTCCTTGGCATTAAGTTGGGGCAGAAGATCCCAGACTTCCAGTTGTTCCAGAAAAATGCAATCAATTGGAAGAAACAATTACAATTTTATTTCATATGTATAAATATTAGAAGGCTTTTCTAGATACATATGTACATTCAGAAGGAATCTAGGAAAAGACTATAAAAGAATCTCATTTGAAAAGTGCATAACAAGCTATTAATATATGCTTATTTTATTTCAGGTGCCTCTGTGTGAAAATTAGATGCACCTGTCGTTCAACTCTGAAGCATTGTGATAGATTAAAATGGTAATCCCTAATAGAAAGAATGAAAATCTCTCCCCAGTTTGTTTACAAGCAACATTAAATATCTATGTAGTCCTCTAGATTCAGTTTATGTGCCAAGGGTCTAGGAACAACCTATTTTCAGAATTATATCAAGCCAAAATAGCAAGTTACCAAATTCATGAACTTGGAATGAATAGTCACTGAGAACACTTTTTAGTTCTTTAAGACTATTTAAATATATTTATGGAGAAAGTTGATTACCTTTATAGATGTACCTGAAACACATCCCTCTTTTTTTCATTAAGTGAATTTAAACCATCTAGCTGTTCCAAACCATTTATTTTTATTTTCAAATATAAAAATATTTACAATATTGCAGGTGATTCTTTTGCAGCTTCAAGATCTTACAAAAGGAACAAAGGCCAAATTTCACACATTCTCTTTTTGGTGGTTTTTCTTGTTTGTTTGTTTGTTTTTTGTATATGTTCTTTTTTTACTATTGGGATTAAAGGAAAAATGGGTCCCTTATTCTTTGTTGTGACTTAAGTTACCTGTTTCATCTCTAAAAAGAATCTGAAACCCTTCCCTAAAGCAAGTTTAGGTTCATTTATTTTGGAATGAGACTTTCAACATACTACACAAGCCTGATGTAACCCATGAGCCAAGAGTTTACCCAATTCTGCAATAAATGCTTTAAAATAAACTAAAAAGTGATTATGGTAGAAAATGAATAGCTTAGAATGCCATATGTTGAAATTGCCACTTTTTAGTTAATTAAGTTGCAATATTTGAGCTATGCAACTTATTATTCTCAAAATAGAGAAGAATCTATTTGATAGACTACTTTAAGGACATGAAATAGTAATATCTACAAATTTGCTAAACTGGGATGAAAAATAATGCTCACCTATTGTGTCAGAGTCTACTAACAGCAATTTCTGCAAGCATGTCTATTGTATTTAATGAGAACATGGCAGTGCCCTTTCACAATTCCCAACAGTATGACTCGCAAAATGAGAATATGTTGGTGAATAATGCTCCAATTAAGAAATCTAATCTGTTGCTACCCAGATGGTTTATGGTTCAAAATAGTCAAAATAGTCCTGACTAGGTTAATCTAGATATGTTACAACTACTCCATTCCCTTAACATGTTTCAGTGATATGGGAAAAAAAACTGATCATGTATAACTTGAGGAAATCTGCCATTAAATAAAATTAATGTATGAATGATTTTTGTTTTTCATGGTATTGAAGATAATGAACTATGTTCATTGTATTAAGTTTAATAATTATGATGATAGTGCACATGGGAAGCACTGGTTTTTCAGTGTATATTACTGCTAGATTACATAATCTTGCTCTTCTTTCGAAGTGCTACTGCTCATCTGCAGTGACTACATGTAATATACTGTAAAATATTAATTTAATTTAGTGCCAGGAATGAAACAATCACAAAACATATGTGATGTTGGCTTCAATTTTGGATTTGGATTTTCATTTGATTTATGAGAATATGTACTATATTTGTTTTTTTCAAAAAAAATAAATTGCCAATCCTAATATACGAATACTTCGTCTTCATGTTTTATTGATAAATCATGTTTAGTCTTGAATTTTCATGCCGGATGGCAGTTTTGATTAACAAAATATGGGAAGCTCTAAGTGTTCTAAGAACAACCATGCTATATTCCTCTCCATAATTGGCATTTCATTTAAACCAGATAATTCCAATGTTACATGCAATGTTACTGCATCAGAAACCTCGGCTAACCCACCACTAGTACATGTAGAACTACAGAATCATTTTAAACATAAAATATATTCTCCAACATATAATTAACTGCCAAGATATAATTAAAAATAGGAATGCTAAGTTGACATTTTCATTGAATTGGCATGCCTCTGAGAATTACAAATTGTCTCAAGATGGTAATTAATAGTTTTATGGTATGTAAATTCCAATTAAGTCTTAACGGTTTCTCATTGCAATAGCTATAGTGCAAAAATTATGTAATTTACTGAAAACATCATTGAACTAATCCCTTGTTAAAAAGGACACTTCTCTGCTGATGCCAATTGAGGGGAAGGTGTCTTAAGAGTGTGACTTGGCAAGTTACTACTGAAATTTGAAACAAATATTAAGAGAAGTTTTTGAAAAATATGTAGGTTATTCTGTTTAATATGTTATAAATTGTCGATCACATCTGGTTCTTTTATCAGATTCTATTGGATTCCTTATGAATATAAATTGTTAACTTAATGAAAATATTTTATTAATATCTAAACCCATTTCTTTTCTGAGAAGGTACTAAATTCATTCATTCATTCATTCATTCATTCATTCATTCATTCATTCATTCATTCATTCATTCATTTACTCCTTGACAACTTCATTCTTATTCCACCAATAAGCAAGAAACAGGATGATTCAGGGGTGATTGTAGAGAAAGGTTTTCAGAAAGAGACTAGAGATTTGTCAAGAATGATATAGATTTCCTACCCAAACTGGAGGTTGAACGTGTTCTAGTCCCTTCTATATTTATTACTGCATGTCCTATATTCTGTGCACTACAGAATAGATTCTATATGCACTATAGTTTATTTCTATCGCTATTTTTACTGTTTTAAAGACAGCCCTATATTATTAAAATTGACAATTTGTTCTTTCCAAATAGCCTGAGAGTCATCTTCGAACTTAGCCTTTTTATATAATTTTTTAAAATGATTTTTTTCTTTAACATCCCTAAGAGCTTGGTGAACAGTGTATTATCTGGGTTGATATACTTTGCATTCAATTCTGATAATAATACTACCATTTAAGTATACATAATTGTAAATTTTCAACTTCTAACATTTGTATATATAGAGTAATTATAATATGTTATATTTCAGTATGGATAATACTATTTTCCCAAATTTCTATTTTCTACTTATTTTTTCTAATGCTTAATAAAATAACCACCATGTTAAAAATTATTCTATATCTATCTATCTTCTCTTGCCCTTTTTAGAATTTCAACTCTTACTTTTTGGTGAATTTTTCCTGCTTCTCCACTGGGATCTTGTAACTCCTTTTATCATGTTTATTTAATCTAAATATTTCCTCTGCCATAACATCTATCTCTTGCTGTTGAATCTCTAGAGCACTCATCTCCAGTTCTCCCATTTTAAGGGATCTTTCTCTTTATTCTCTTTTCTCTTTTGAATTTTTAAAAAAATATTCTGTTTGTTCTGGGTTACAGATTATTGCTATTTCTTCCATCTCTTTGTCTGCTTGTTTTTGGAATTGTCTCTTCTATTCTCTCTTTGTTTCTTTCTGGTTTCTCCTCTATTTTCTGAGATTTTTATTTATTCTTTATTGTCATTTGCTTGGGTTTTCCTAATCTCACAGTATCTTGCATCAATTCCATCATTTCCCTATGATTCCTTGTTATATCTTCCTTAATACATTGAAATATCGATGATATTTATTTATAAACTGCATTTGTTTTCCCCTGCTGAGACATTTTGTGCTGATATACTACACTAATAACTGTTCAATATTCCACAAAAAATTCAATATTCCAATTGTCCAGAGACTCCAAAAACACATTAATAAAATTTAACCATCCTGGAACTGTTCCTCAAAATCCCCTACATTTATAGTCCTTAAAATTTTCCAATTTGCACCCTCTAAATTTTCCAAATGTTTACGTCTTATTCAATTTTTCTTCTTTTGCCTCACAGAATGTTCTGTCATTTGTATCTTAATAATCAAGATTGGCTCATCAAATTTCCCCAAATATCTTTAGCCCATAAAGTTAGATATTCAGTTTCAAGGATGTTTCTTGTTAATTGTAATTCACCTTGCCTTAAAAATCTTCAAACAGCTCACTAAGCAGCCAAAACTCCAGTAGATACGAAACCAAAATAAAAAGGTCTTCCAGGTGTTGTTTACCTTTTACTATTTTCTTTCTTTTCTCTTGTTATTTTTGTATTATCCAATAATATTCAAATAATTATTACTTTCCAAGGTTATTCTCATGAAGCACTAATATAATATCATCTTTGACCAGTAGATGGCACCCCCGCTCTAAAATCCAGCTTTAAACACAGCAAAGCTCAGTGAAAAAATATAAGAAAATAAAATACAGAGTTCCTCTTTCTTTATACAAATTCTTACAACAATCAAGCAATATTATCCACAAATTAAATCACTTTTCATGCTAATAGGTGCAGTCTAGTTCTTTTCTATTTTAAAATTTCACAGTCTTTCCTTGCCAGTTAATTTCACTTTTAGGTCTGTAATCTTTCTCTATGTAATAAATTGCCACTTTCTTAACATTTTGGACAATCTTTTTTAAATATTTTTTTTTTATTTGGGCTTAAATCTCTAATATACAACTTGAAAATTGTCTCACCCAGTTTCAATCCCCTGCCCACAAATTGCTCCAGCACATTTTCTTCTTGTCCTGGTTGTCACAGCTTTGGTCTTGCCAAAATGTCCATCTCTGCTGCTGATCAGGAGGGTTTTCTTTGGATCAAATGAGGAATTTGCTGTTTCCTCATGATCTAAAAAGCATCCCTCCTTTCTTCACCACCCCTCCGGGTGGTTTTAGCCCCGTAGGGTCTCCTGACAAGCAGGTATCAGCTGGGTATTGTGGTGATCACAAAGCGCCACTATCCATAACCATCCTGCTGTGTTCTGTTGTGATACCAACCAGTCAATCCCCATAGCTCTTGAAGGAAGGTGTTAATGTTCCCCAGCTCTGGTGCATCCTCTTCATGGAGTTGGCTCACCTATTTCATTATCTCCCCTTCCAGATTCATGCTCCATATGTGGACCATTGCCTGGTTGCTTGGGTAGTCAGCCACATGGTTGTTTATATGAACCCATACCTGATTCAGGAAGAATGCCAGTTTCTCTGAGTCCCTGTTGAAAGGTGGTTTTTGGGAGATGGGCATCTGGGCAAGGTGGAGGAGGTGGTGGCATCC